AAGAGTATTAGAAGTGCTGATTTTGTGAAGGAAAGGGAAAATTTATATAAAAGTAGAGAAAGCCCGTGCAACGCCGGGCCATGCAGCTAGTAACCCCATAATATTGGTCAAGTTGCGAGTATGACACCTGAGCTGCCGTCCCTCTCCAAACTACCACACCCTGCAAACGGGAGGAATTTAAATCACGATAGATTTAACGTGCATCAGCTCCTCTACACGGAGGGTATTCAGTAGAGCAGGGCTCGAACTCATAAGTCTGTGACGAAAGGCTAACCGCGACCACTCCATTTTTTAAAATTTTTTTACCATTTAAGATTCACGCTTTCCTTCGTATTCGTGGCACAGAAGAATTTTCTTAAGGTATCCGACTACGTTCGGAACCGTAGTCTTAAAAAAGTACATAAATGGATAATTTTCATGATATTTAGTGTCACTTAGATTAGAATACATGTATAAAAATGTTTTAAGGACATTTTGTCAAAAAAAAAAAAAAATTATTTAAATTATTTTGGCAAAAAATTAACTTAGAATAATCTCTTTTTTCAAAATGTTCAGCCTTTATAAGAAATTCTTCTATAATAATAATATTTCGCTTATACAAATTAAAGATTTCTCCAGAGAGTCTGAACCAGGATTTTTGAAAAATTCACATTATTTTCAGAGTTACAACCCATTGAAATAATTATCGGCGTTTTTTTCTTAAAATTTCTCCCCTCTGTTGTAAAACATGGATAAACCCACTTCTAAGTTATATAATTCAAAAAATTTTTTGTTGAGCCTCTGTACAGAGGTCTGAGCTATATACAGGCGAAATATGATTATAATAGAAGCATTTTTCACAAAAGGAGAATATTTTGAGAATAGGTTATTCTATGTTCATTTTTTGTCAAAATAGTGTACTTAAATAATTTTTTATTGTAATACTATTCTTAAAACAATTTTATATACATTTTCTAATCTAAATGACACTAAATATCATAAATACTATCCATTTATACGCATTTGCAAAATGACAGTTCCGAACGTAGTCGGATACCTTAATCTGTTTTGACTAATTTTTTTTATTTAGATTAAATATATATTCGAAAATTCTATGCTATTTAATAATATGCAAAATGTTCCTTACCAGTAAAAATTGGCATGATTCAGGGAGAAAATAAGTATTGCAAAATAATAGTGGAAGAAGGGGATGAAATCAAAAATAGATATGAATTGATAAGAATAAACATGAATTGAATGTATGAATAAATTACACGTAGGAGAGCGGATTTTTATGAGGAAAAGAAAAAATTTAATGAAATAAAATATTAATTATTATCAGAGGAATGTGTACGGTTGAGATAAAAATTAATAATTCGAGGCATACAATTCAGCGTTTTGGGTTCGATTTATATAGTTTCTCGTCAATTCATTAAATATTTAGTTGTGACTTTATTGTGACCTCAAGATTCACTCACACTTTCTCGAGAAACAAAATTTGATTTTTGAAAAGACGCGAAAAGCAAGTAATAAAAAACACATATTTAGCCACTCGATGATTAATATTTTAGGGTGTCAGAAAAAATATCGACTACTCTTTCAGGTTCTTCCGGTGAATAACTTCCACCCCCACCCCCGCATAACCAGCCCTGCCTGAAATATTCAAACATCATTACCTATTGTTCCATTGCGTAGCGTATATCTCGAAATGGGAAAAGATAATCCCATAATTATTTATAAGAAATGTGCTTGCTTAAAATTTATAAATTTTAATTATAAATCTTTTGAAAATGTTTAAAAAAAATTCAGAAGTATATAAAATTGATATATATATATATATATATATATTTCAAAAACAACAACAATTATAACCGATGTTATGTTTTTATTCTGAAATATTTTCGTGTGTGATAATATTAAATTCCCATATCTTTAAGGTATCCGACTACGTTCGGAACCGTGATTTTGCAAAAGCGTGTAAATGGATAATATTTATGATATTTAGTATCACTTAGATTAGAAAATGTATATCAAGTCGTTTTAAGAATAGTATTACAATAAAAAATTATTTAAGTACAATATTTTGACAAAAAATGAGCATAGAATGACCCATTTTCAAAATATTCTGCTTTGTGAAAAATGCTTCTATTATAATAATATTTTGTCTGTATATAGCTCAGACCTCTGTACAGAGGCTCAACTAGAATTTTTGAAATATATAACTTAAAAGTGGGTTTATCCATGTTTTACGACAACAGAGGGGAGAAATTTTAAGGAAAAAAACACCGATAATTATTTCAATGGGTTGTAACTCTGAAAATAATGTGAATTTTTCAAAAACTATAGTTGAGCCTCTGTACAAAGGTCTGAGCTATATACAGGCAAAATATCATTATAATAGAAGCATTTTTCACAAAAGGGGAACATTTTGAAAAAAGATTATTCCAAGTTAATTTTTTGCCAAAATATTGTATTTTAATAATATTTTTTTGTCAAAATGTCTTTAAAACAATTTTATACATATATCCTAATCTAAGCGACACTAAATATCAGGAAAATTATCTATTTAGGCGCCTTTTTAAAATCACAGTTCCGAACGTAGTCGGATGCCTTAAATAAGATCTAAACAGAAGAAATAAAAGTTCGAATTGAAGATAAATTCCTCATTTTTGAATTGTATCATCAAACAATGGATTTTGTAATTTTTTTTGCAAAGGAGAAACAAATTTCCTTCTTCTCCAACGTTCCTTTTGTATTACGAATTAAGCGAAATTATTGTGAGTGATATAAT